GGGCAGGGCCTTGGCGCGGCCGCCGCTGCCCCGGGTGCGAAGTGTGTCTTACGGCGGCAGCGGCTGCAGCTCTTCGGTACCCGTGCCGTGCCGCTGCCGGGGGCTCTGCCGGGCCGGGTGCCTTGCCAGATCGGTAGAGCCACACAAAAATGGTGTTTAGGCAGGCCCTGCTGCACTTGAATATGTGTTTTTTAATTTAGGTCGGTTATTACATACACCGGTTGTTTTTTTAAAAAACCAAGTCCTCAGTGAATAAAACTGGGAGAGCACGTTTGGAGGAGTCAGTGTTTGAGGAGTGAAAATGAAATTCTTACGGTGTCAGTTTGACAACTTGCAGTTGCTTTAACTAAGTACTATTATTCTCATATACTTGAGTTCCTCATTGGCACTGAAATAGATTTGTATCTGGAATCTGATTTTGGCATTAAAAAAAAAAATATTGGCCTGTTATTCATCTAATTTACCGGACTATTAGTGCATAATAAACCAAAAGAATAGTTTTTTTTGTAAGAAAAGTGCACAGTGAACTGTACTGGTTTAGTGGTATTTAAATACATAGCCGTATGAGGGACTCTGATCTCTGTCCTGGAACTCTTAAAATGCTGTAGAGAAATGCTTTGATTTTGTTACATCTGCTTCCAAGGATTAGTGGGTATTATTTTGGTGATCTTCTGTATTGGGACACATTTGTGTGTGTAAATGTTTAAAGGTGCTGAGATGAAGGAAGAGCTTTTAGAATATTTTGAAGAAACTATTGTTAATTGCAGTTGCTTATAGAAGCATTTTAAAATAATGTAATTTCAAAACTGTTTAGTCAGCTATAGCGTTGCTAACTGTACTATTGTATCTAGTCAGAGTGATTACATAAATACTATTATTTACCTGAGAATCAAGCCTTCGTAGTCAGGTGTAGTCAGCCTGTGACTCTTCATGAAGTTCTGTTGTGGCTTCTTTGTGTGACAGAGAGTGAGGTTCCCAAGGTGCAGGAATCCGAGGCACACACAGCCTCAGCAGCGGGGGGAGGAAGCGAGCCAGGAAGGACTGCTGGTCTTGTCTGGATGTCCTATTCTGCAGCAAATCTAAAGCAGTGACACCCCAATGTGGGAGTTCTTGCTGTTCACCTGTTCTGAAAATCACTTCTCAGTGATTTTCTGAGGTGGACAATATATGTTTTGTGGCATTCAGGTGTATGAAGTTTGTTATGTAGTCTGTAGGTCAGGAGGGTTTGCTGTTCTGGTCTAATGTAATACATCTTCACACCTGTCCCAGAAAATGTGCCTGGGTAGCTGTAACAATGCTATTGAAACTGAATGTAACTTGTCAGACCACGAATTTCACCTTTGATGTATGATGAAATATGTAAGCATGATTGGCTCTTGGAAATTAAGAAGAGGGTGGAAGAAAAGATGGAGGAAAATTTGCTTATTAGCAGGTTCTGCCTTCTGAATAGGAAATGCATACATTACTAGATAGTAACAGTATTTAACTCAATAAATGCAACAAATCTTTTATATATGTGTACGCTTTATTAGTCACTGCACACTGGTGTTTGTACATTGACCTCTGCAGAGCAGTAACTGAGTGGTAAAAATAATGTCTGTATAAAACCATTTCAAGTGCGGCTAGAATAAAATGTGAAGGAAAGACTAAGGTCCTGTACAGAAAGTTCGGAGTTGATGTTGCAGTGTATGGAGTTGGTGGACTTTGTAGCAGATGTCTGTGAAATGGGTGAAATGGATTTTAAGTTGCAATTTTTTCTGTCTTTTCAGGAGATAGTTTTAAAAGGAGAGATCTTTCAGTTTGTGATTATAACTGAGATTGTTGCTTCATGCAGACTGTTGTATCAATACCCCATTTTTCAGGGATAATATTCCTTAACTGTTTTTTTATAAAG